CATCACCTCGCTAACACGACACTGTTGGAGCAGTTAGTAACTAAGCTACCGCCAAGCAAGCAATACGAGTGGACCAGATATGCCGTAAATTTAAAGCCGTATCCCACAATTAAAGAGTTTTCGAGCTGGTTAAGCGACCTTGCCAGAGTCGTGTGTCTGATGCCGCCAACAACTGCAATAAGTAGAAGCCAACCGCCAATGATACAACAACCAAGTAGAAGCCAACTTCCAACGACACAGCAACAGCCTCGACGTTTGATGCATCTCGGTAGAGAGTCGCAGCAGGAGCACTCGGGAGGTATGCGATGTTACGCGTGCATGGGTGCCCACTCCATTTCGAACTGTCAGACTTTTTGTGAAATAATGAGCGTCCCTGAGCGTTGGGAGAAAGTGAAAAGCCTTCAGCTCTGCTTTTCTTGTTTGCGCAAAGGACACAACACATCAAACTGTCGCGTTAAAAAGTTTTGTGACACCGATGGTTGCCGTCGATACCACCACCGGAGCCTTCATGAAAGCACAACAGCCGCCGCTCATGCAGATGCAGCCCGCAACCAAGGTGGGGCGCAGCCCATTCTCAACTGTAGGGAAGCCATATCCACGCGCGGCCACCTGTTTAAATACGTTCCTGTGTAATTATTCGGACCAAATGGTAGGGAAGACGTTTTCGCCATGATCGACGAAGGTTCAGCTATTTCATTAATCTAGATGTAAGATGCAGAGATAGACCAGCAACCTACAGCCTTCGCAACGTGTGCACTATCCGTAGCCTAGACTTGCCAGTACAGTCCTTCAAGAAGTTTCATTACGCCCACTTCGAGCCATTGCCATTGGAAGATTATCACGAAGTTAAGCCATCGTTGTTGTTAGGTCTCGACAACACGTCATTGAGTGTGCCATCCGCGACCGTGAAGGCCGATAGCGAAAGTCCAGTGGCCATTAATACTAAATTGGGCTGGATAGCATACGGGCCGACCAGAGCAGCAGTGCAAGCACCGGTAGTTCTACATATCTGCGAGAAAAGCAGCCTTACGTCTTTGCACGAACTAGTTACCGAATATTTTGCAGCAGATAACTTTGGAGTTAATGGATCATCAAAGCTTCTAGAGTCTGAAGAGAATGAAAGGGCGCGCCAGATGCTGCAGGCCAACACACGTCGAGTTGGTAAGCGGTTCGAAGCTGGATTACTATGGCGTACTATTCCACCAAAACTTCCACACAGCTATCAGATGGCCTATAAACGACTGCTAGGTATAGAGAAGAAAATGCGATTTGACTCAGAATTTGCCGCTAAATACAAAAAAGAAATCGCAAAGTACATAGAAAACGGTTACGCTAGAAGGATTCCCGACGATGAAGAGTATATCGACACAGGTTTTAAGTGGTATTTACCTAATTTCGCAGTGCAAAATCCGCACAAGCCCGGAAAAATGAGAATCGTGTTTGATGCCGCCGCCAAAGTAAATGGTATAGCTTTAAACTCCGCCTTGATAAAAGGTCCTGAACATGCTAAGCCATTAGTAGACATATTGTTCAGATTCCGCGAGGGAGCAGTCGCAGTAGCAGCAGACATCCGTGAAATGTTTTCACAGGTGCTGATAAAGCAGCAAGATCAACAAGCGCAAAGGTTCTTGTGGCGCGATGGAAACCATCTTCAACCGGTACAACAGTACGTCATGCAGTCGATGGTGTTTGGTGCCATATGTTCACCTTGCATAGCAGAATATGTTAAAAATAAGAACGCAGAAGAATTCCGCCAGCTATATCCCGACGCCGTTGCAGCAATAATAAATAGTCATTATGTTGATGACTTCGTAGCCAGTTTTAGAGATCAACAAGAAGCCGAAAGAATTTGTCGAGAGGTCGTATTCATCCACGCCGAAGGAGGTTTTCAACTGAGGTCTTTTGTGTCGAACATCAGAGATATCGAGGTCAGCCTGAACAAAGAACCAAGAACAGTATCACAGCCAGTAAGCTTAGAAAGCGTAACCAACCACGAAAAGATATTGGGAATGTATTGGAATATGGCAACGGACTCGTTCGAATTCCAATTCAAGTTTCATCGTATCCCGAAACCAGTATTAGAGGGAATACGAGCACCAACGAAGCGTGAACTGCTGAGCATAATCATGGCAGTCTTTGATCCGTTTGGTATTCTCGCAGATTTTCTACTATTTGCCAAAGTACTGATACAAGAAGTATGGAAAAGCCGCATTGAGTGGGACGAAGTGATTCCAGATAAACTTCAAAACAAATGGTTTGCCTGGTGGGGCGAGTTTAAACGCGTTAACGAAATCCGGATCAGACGTTGGTATTCGCCTCAATTGCAAGCAGCCGTATCGATTCAGCTACACATAGTAGTAGACGCCAGCCAAGTTGCATTCGCCGCCGCTGGTTATTTTCGAGTCACCAGTGCAGAAAATTGTGAGGTCACATTTGTAGCCGGTAAAACCCGAGGTGCACCTCAAAAGCTCTTGTCCGTGCCAAGATTGGAACTGCAGGCAGCAGTATTAGGCGTGCGATTGGCCAAACTAATCTGCCATGGTCATAGCATTCAGCTTGACGCGACAATTTACTGGTCCGATTCACAAACAGTGCTACATTGGGTCAACTCCGAGGAGAGAAAGTTTAAGCCCTCCGTCGGCCATCGCATCGCCGAAATACTATCGTCGTCTACGCCTCCTCAGTGGCGCTGGATACCTACTGAGAAAAATACTACTGATATTGCTACTCGGCCAAGATGGCCCCCGAAGGTCGAGATGTGCAGTTCATGGTTGCGAGGTCCAGAGTTCCTACAGCAGCCTATGGAGTGTTGGCCCATCCTATCCAATAAGCCTTTACCAGACCAGCTACCAGAAGAAGTCCAGCCGTGCTTCGCCATGCATATCGAGGTAAATGATTGTTTACTTAAGTTTAACCGTTTTTCGTCTTATTTAAAGTTGAAACGGGTGATGGCCTGGGTTCAACGAGCCACCTGCAAATTTTTGAAGCACGTCCGTGCGCACCAGAACGACGACGATACGCGGTCGAGCGGAGCGCTGACCGCCAGCGAACTCAATAAAGCCGAACAATTTATAATAAAAACAGTCCAGAACGAGATTTACGCCAAAGAAGTTGCAGCGCTCAAAAACTCAGCATGTCTCCACAAACAAAGCACCATCTATGCGCTAACGCCGTTCTTAGATAAGGAGGGCATTATGAGGATACAAGGTCGCATCGACGCAGCCGCAGTTTTGCCGATAGAATCCAGGAAGCCGATTTTGATGCCGAACAAACACATCGTCTCAACACTCATAATGCGCCAGTACCATGAAAACATGCACCACCAGAATTCTGCCGTCATCGTTAACGAAGCCCGCCGAAAATATTGGTTCCCTCACGCTAAGTCGTTGCTCAACGCAGTTCAACGCAGTTGCAACAGATGCCGAATCGACAAAGCTAAGCCAGCACCGCCTCTCATGGGCCAGTTACCCGAAGATCGCGTCACACCATACGTCAGGCCCTTTACATACACGGGCGTCGATTTATTTGGCCCCTTTAATGTTGCGATAGGTCGCCGAAGAGAGAAAAGGTGGGCAGTGATATTCACTTGCCTTACCACCAGAGCCGCGCATTTGGAGCTGGCGCACGATTTATCGACAGATGCCTTTCTCTTGTGTTTGCGGAACTTTGTCAACCGCCGGGGAACGCCAGTACGTATAAGAAGTGACAACGGGACGAACTTCATAGGCGCCCAAAGAGAACTGAAGGATGCGGAACGAATTTTAGACTTTCAACGCATCGACAACGAAGTCGCCCAACGCAACATTGAGTGGAGATTTAACTGCCCTTCTAACCCAAGCTCCGGAGGTTGCTGGGAGAGACTCATCCGCGTCGTGAAAAACTTGCTGCACAAAATTATTCAAGACGAAGTACCGCGGGAAGAAACGCTAAGGAGCGTGCTAATAGAGATTGAAAATATTTTAAATTCTCGACCACTGACAGACGTGCCCTTGGCATCGGAAGAAGACGACCCAATAACGCCGAACCACTTCCTTATTGGGTGCTCTAACTCTACTCAAACACCTCAGTCAGCAGACGAGAAAATTTGCCTCAAAAAGCAGTGGCACATTGCTCAAAACCTGAAAGACCGGTTCTGGAAGCAGTGGATACGGCACTACTTGCCACAATTGCTGTTACGTCCAAAGTGGCACGATCGAGTGGAGCCAATCAAGGTAGATGACTTAGTCTTAATCTGCGATTCTCTACTACCTCGAAGCCGGTGGCAGAAAGGACGAGTAGTCCGGGTGTTTACAGCCAAAGACGGGCAGGTACGAGTCGCCGATGTCAAAACAGCTGGAGGAGTGCTACGTCGTCCAGCCTCGAAACTTGCCGTATTATGTTTAGAGGGTGAATCCCTAGGCGATTCACGGTGGGGTGGGGTGTAAGGGCACCCTGTGCCTCTTAATTTCCCTTTGCACAATTTGCCTTTCACACCATTATTCTTCACATCACTAGATGTCATTTCTTGTTTGTGATGATGGAAGACATTTGCTTGCACCGAAAAAACGACAGAAGCAATTTAGACAGCAGCCGACAACGACGCGCAAATACAATTTGGAAACTAACCATATATTCAACTGGCCATACATTCAACCACAACCACAACCATACATTCAATCAACCACATTCATCTTGCTTCAAAATTCTACATTTGGAAACTTTATTCGGCTTCAACATTTATCGATATCAACGTTTGTAAAATTCACCAAATAAATACATTTTAAAACAGTACAATATACAAAAGTCGTGCATTGTGTTAATCTCGTCATTTTGCCATTGCTCAAAGGCCGCCTAATATTTCATCGCTTTCCAAATTTGTATTGATGTTCATCGATTTGCGAATTAACTGTTCTCCAAATTAAGCGTGTTGTCGGCTAGCTGTAGTCCAAAGTAAAACGGAAAATTTTTATTAGTGGCGAAAAACTTGTGGCGCCAATTTTAACAAGATAAAAGAGCAGCGAGTAACCTGAAAACATCGAGAAAGATCGAGAAGAGCTGGTGGCGCGAAAAGAGTAAGGGTTGGCGCCAAAAGTAGTCGGCAGAGCCAAAATAAAAAAAGAAGGTTTTGAAGGAGTAGCAAGGGTGGGTGAAATTGCGAACGGAAGACAAGTGGAGTGTCGAGAATTGTGTGGGAATATATGATCGTAGGTTGTGAGATATCATGCCAGGTGGAAGCCAGTATAACTTGAGAAGTCAAGAAAGCCAACAGGGTGTGCAGGATGATACCGACGAGGATGGGAATGCGGCGCAACCAGCCCATATGACAGCAATTATAGCCAGTCTCAACGCACTCACAAATGCAGTCGGACAGTTGAAGGCGGTCACAGAGGAAAGCCAGCGAGACATAGAAAGATTGCGAAACAATATACAGTTCGACGCGCGTTCTAACGTGATTGAAGCAATGCAGCAGGATAGTGAAACCACACCAGTGACGCGACCGGAGCGCTCCACGCAAAATGCAGTGCTAGAGGTTAGTGATTCGGTTACAAAGTTGTATGATCTGCCTATATTTTCCGGTAACACCGAAGACTGGCCGCTCTTCTTAGCAAACTACAAAGATACGACCGAAACGTTTCGCTATAGTAACCGACATAACCTAATGCGCTTACACAAATGTTTAGTTGGTCGTGCTAGAGAAACAGTTGCTTCCATGTTGATCTATCCCGATGACGTGCCGAATGCTATAGCTGAGCTGGAGTTCCAGTTTGGTCGGCCAGACCTTTTAGTGCGAAGCCAGCTTCTTAAAATTCAGCAATTTCAAACTATCGCTGAAAACAAAGTGGAGCAAATTTTAGCGTTTTCAACAAGAACAAGAAACGTTGTTGCGTTTCTAACGTCAGCTAAGTGTGAGCATCACCTCGCTAACACGACACTGTTGGAGCAGTTAGTAACTAAGCTACCGCCAAGCAAGCAATACGAGTGGACCAGATATGCCGTAAATTTAAAGCCGTATCCCACAATTAAAGAGTTTTCGAGCTGGTTAAGCGACCTTGCCAGAGTCGTGTGTCTGATGCCGCCAACAACTGCAATAAGTAGAAGCCAACCGCCAATGATACAACAACCAAGTAGAAGCCAACTTCCAACGACACAGCAACAGCCTCGACGTTTGATGCATCTCGGTAGAGAGTCGCAGCAGGAGCACTCGGGAGGTATGCGATGTTACGCGTGCATGGGTGCCCACTCCATTTCGAACTGTCAGACTTTTTGTGAAATAATGAGCGTCCCTGAGCGTTGGGAGAAAGTGAAAAGCCTTCAGCTCTGCTTTTCTTGTTTGCGCAAAGGACACAACACATCAAACTGTCGCGTTAAAAAGTTTTGTGACACCGATGGTTGCCGTCGATACCACCACCGGAGCCTTCATGAAAGCACAACAGCCGCCGCTCATGCAGATGCAGCCCGCAACCAAGGTGGGGCGCAGCCCATTCTCAACTGTAGGGAAGCCATATCCACGCGCGGCCACCTGTTTAAATACGTTCCTGTGTAATTATTCGGACCAAATGGTAGGGAAGACGTTTTCGCCATGATCGACGAAGGTTCAGCTATTTCATTAATCTAGATGTAAGATGCAGAGATAGACCAGCAACCTACAGCCTTCGCAACGTGTGCACTATCCGTAGCCTAGACTTGCCAGTACAGTCCTTCAAGAAGTTTCATTACGCCCACTTCGAGCCATTGCCATTGGAAGATTATCACGAAGTTAAGCCATCGTTGTTGTTAGGTCTCGACAACACGTCATTGAGTGTGCCATCCGCGACCGTGAAGGCCGATAGCGAAAGTCCAGTGGCCATTAATACTAAATTGGGCTGGATAGTATACGGGCCGACCAGAGCAGCAGTGCAAGCACCGGTAGTTCTACATATCTGCGAGAAAAGCAGCCTTACGTCTTTGCACGAACTAGTTACCGAATATTTTGCAGCAGATAACTTTGGAGTTAATGGATCATCAAAGCTTCTAGAGTCTGAAGAGAATGAAAGGGCGCGCCAGATGCTGCAGGCCAACACACGTCGAGTTGGTAAGCGGTTCGAAGCTGGATTACTATGGCGTACTATTCCACCAAAACTTCCACACAGCTATCAGATGGCCTATAAACGACTGCTAGGTATAGAGAAGAAAATGCGATTTGACTCAGAATTTGCCGCTAAATACAAAAAAGAAATCGCAAAGTACATAGAAAACGGTTACGCTAGAAGGATTCCCGACGATGAAGAGTATATCGACACAGGTTTTAAGTGGTATTTACCTAATTTCGCAGTGCAAAATCCGCACAAGCCCGGAAAAATGAGAATCGTGTT